ACACACACACACACACACATACGCGCACCACTGTCCAGATCTTCTTGGCCTCATAAAGGCTTTCACAGACCGGCGCGGCGGGATATCCGCAGCCTCTGCGGAACGGCCAAAGGTTTTGCCTTATGAGCACGTTCAGGCGGACGTTGCGGCAGCGGACTGGCAGCGTTTTCTAACCCGCGGATTTGGGAACGCAGTCGGGCGCGCTTCGACCGCAGCCGCTCGAGGGCCGCGGAAGTCCGCCTGTCTTCCGGAGTCTTCCCTCCCCTCTGGATCGCGCTCCCCTTGCTTTGGTTTATGCCGGTTTAGGTCAACAGAAGAAAGCTGTCAACAAACGTTGAGTCATAATTGACGCTATGGTGTGTACGGACCCACCGATTCCGCCGCGCACACCGCAAATCTCCCGCGCCGCGGCGCGACGGTCTGTGAGAGCCTTAAGGCTCCACGTGACGCGAAATTTCCGCTGTGGCCATTCCGCTGGGCCGCACACGCTGCCCAGCGGTGAGCGCGCCAACTTCGAATGCCTTATGCATTCGGGTTGAAGAGTGCCAGTATTAGCTCCCTATTCTGCTTTTTAGTTCCCGAGAGGCGAGTGCCTCCGCCGGAGTATCAGCTGGTGCCGGGTGTGGGTTGGTACCGACTGTACCTGGCGCCCCTCACCTGGGGCAAGGCGCGCCTGGCGTGCGAGGCAGACGGCGCGCACCTCGCCGTCCTCAACTCCAAGAAGGAGGCCGCCGCCCTCAAAGAGATTTACGTAAAGGCGCCGGGAAGCACACCGACTGACGCGTTTATTGGATTCAGCGATCTCATCGAAGGGCAATATCGCACTATCTTCGGTAAGTGAACCAACGCATCAATACGTTAATCGCTTCATTTCGTCGCGCCGACGGAGGTGGCTCAGGGGCAACATCTGTTGTAGGGGAAATAGAAACTCCCCAGCAGCAGTCTGATTCCTGTTTATCACATAATCCTATCACCGAAATGTCCTTCACCTGCCAGAGCCACCGCGTCAAGTGAATAGCATCTGATGATAGTTTGTAACCGAGAAGTCAGTTACATAGACTAGTTATTATATATCCTTCTTATTGAATTATTCATACTGTTCAAATTTGTTACATCCCAGATAACCTTAGGATAGGATTTCAGTCTTTGCAGTTGTTTCTAGGCCGTTGAAAACTTTGCTTCGTTAGTGTTCGCTATATCGATGTTGAAGTATTTTTATACTATTGTATCAATATCATCCTTAAAACAGAAAATGCCAATTTTGTAATCAAAATCTGTTAATTTATTGAAATATGAGGATGTGACGAATTTCATTAAGTCCATAGTGAAAAATTTAATCTTCCTTTTGCTGTGTTTGAGGTTTTATAGTTGGATTTTTAACACATGAGAGAAATATGAGTAATTAGATAATTCTCCAAAAGCATAATGTAAAATAAGATATCCTACAATACTTATATCAAAAAGATCAAAAAGATGATTTGGACTTCGCAAGATTATTATTATTATTATTATTATTATTATTATTATTATTATTGTAGAGATGAATGAAGAAGTATTTATTGCTTTTGTTGTTGTTGCGGTTTTTGATCGCGAGAAATTTTTTTTTCAGAAATACATTTGCAATGGTTTGATTTTTTCCAGGAGACACTTTGGAGGATGCTGGATTTAAGGAATGGCATACACAGCAGCCAAATAACTATGGCGGTAATCAGAATTGCGGTGCATTCACGAAGGGTGAGGGTAAACTCAATGACTGGGATTGTGCAGGTACACAACCTTACTTCTGCGAGTTTGAACTGTGATTCAGTGCTAATGAACGGACGGTAAACGGAATCAATACTTCAAAAGAGTGATCTGTTCCATCAGCAAATATATCACCTCTATTTTAATATTAAATTACATTCAGCACAATAATGTTAAACACCTTCATTTCAATTTTATTGAAATTATATGATTTTTAAACATGACTTAATGATCTTCAGAAATGTTTCAAATTGTACTCTTTTCCTCATTAAATATTTTTATTAAATCTATTACGGACTATAAAGTATTGAGACTATAAACTGCTGTAGAATTGAGCGAGGTAGAGTGCGTAAGAAATGAAAACAATGAGAACTACCGTTTTTCTGTGTATTATCAAAAACAATATAGTTTTCCGTTTCCGCCAACTGTCGCAACAGATGTTGTGGAAGCTCTTGCAGTGGACATTTTAATTAGCTCCATGATTCATGTCTTCTATACATTTCATAGTATCATACATTTCATAGTATTTACCTGCCTCCTGTAGGCATAGCAAGTCATGCAGCAAATACGAGAACAATGCATACAATGTTGCATTGCACTAATAATTTCCCTGCTCTGAAGTTGGATAATAGTAGACTAGATGCCATAAACAATATTTAATGTCATAAAATAAATGAGTGAATATTTAAGCAAAGAAACATACATTGATAAATTGACGAACATTCGAAGCTAAATTAAGTCCATGATAAGGGCCAGCAATTAATTAAGAAGCCACAAAAGGATGTACACTGTTGTTTTTAAAAATTGCAACACTAAGAAGGGGATATTCTATTACAATGTAATTTATGCCACAGATTAGGAATATCACAATATTTGTATACAAATCATTAGAATTACATAATTTTACCAGCATTTTAACCTTGAGTATTTATTACGATGTAAAATGCAGCCAAGCACTGTCATCAACGCCTCTAGATGTTGTGGGATGAATTCAAAGAGAGCCTGGATATGCTGGGGAACACACCTTCTTCTGATTTCTATGCGTGACCACAAAGCATCGACAATGGTTGCTGGAGAACCAGAACAAATAAGTTATCCGACCGATCCTATCCGCAACATGTTTGATGGGCGACATGTCAGGGAAACGTGCAGGCCAGGGAAGCAGTGGTACCCGTCGTTCTTCGCAGAAAGCTTGCGCATTCCTCGCCGCATGCGGTCGGGCATTCTGCTGAATTATGGCATGTGGAGCTGCTTTAAAACCTCCCTATAATAGCGGTTGCTGTTCAGATTGGCCTCAATACGTATGAGGCGAGATCGTACACATTAGCCAATAGCGTCTCAAACCATCACACTTGGCGTTTGTCCACTATGGCGCGGAACAATGCAGGCTCGCAGATTGCGATCACCGCAGAAGCGTCGAACACTTATGCAGTCATCGCTGTAGCACAAAATGAAGTGACATTCGTCCGAAAACACTACATTTTGCCACTCAGCGCATCAGTGAATACGTTCACGTGCTTATTGCTATCCGAGGCGTTGGTGGTTTCTGGTCAACGGAATGGGACGCACTGTTATGCGTGCCACCAGCCCAGCCGTCATCAGATGGTGTCTGACGACACAGCCATGGCATCACCCCTTGCAGTGATCCAAAGTCGAGCCAACATTGTGGATGACGCCGTTCTGACGGTGACGGCCATGCGGATAAGATGGCGGTCACCTCACGCTGTGGTCACATTGTGTGGTCCAATACCCTCTCGTCGCTGTGTCCCCCCTCCGCTATCTAATGGTTCTACACACGCATCACTGTCGTAGCAGCGTGCCGCTTTCGAGCGCAATGTTACGGTACGACAAACCCACTTTTTGCTGACCGATCATTCTGCGCTGTTCAAACTCAGTCAGATGCTACTATTGCGCCCTTTGGCGTCGACGAGGAACATCGTGACTTGCTTGCTCGTGTTCACATTTGTCAGACAGCGAGGAGGGGCACATCGGCACTGCCGTCGCCGCGACCGGTATGCAGGCCAATGGCAATTATGAGCACAAAGACACGCTCGTGTCCACCCAGGTAAAGGGCGGTGGTGGAGGCATGAGCTGAAAACGCGTCGCCCTCACCCGGACACTTTCCGCCTCAGAAGGCCCTCAGCAGAGAGAAGGCTCGTCCGTTGCAAGCGGGCACAGGCGCTCCCACAAGGGCTTGGGGTTGGGGCTGAAATGTGGTAATTAATTAGCAATAAATTATTAGCCAGGTTCCGCCGAGCAACAATTAGAATTTATCTTACGTGCATAATGACGTCACATCAAGCCGGCTCACACTCATTTTCTCCACGAAAATACGTTACTACAATACGACGACTATCTTCACGAAAATACGCAATTAATTCCAAATTGTAGCAATTAATGAGAAATTAGTCAGCAATAAATTATTTTACATGTTTCATTCGGGTGCGCTGACATGGCTGTTCCCGCTTCACACACCGTAGGGGAGCAGAGGTGGTGAAAGGCGCTTGGCGCAGATGCGATCACAAACCGGGCGGTGAGGGGGAGAGGCATTCCTCTGCCCTGATTGTGCGCACTGCCACTGCCCTAGCTCCAATGTTGGCGATTTATGTAGTATTCTACTCCACGTGACATAGGGACATGAGAGATTCTTGGCAGTACCTTTGAAATGAAACATACAGAAAGCATTTTACATTCTGCCTCGGAGAGTTCCTACGTCTACTCTTTTCACGCATCCCTAGGATGAATACATGAGCACTACTTTATTGACTCAGTAAATAAAAAGTGACCTTCCGTTGCAATATTGATGCTGAACAAATTCACACAAATGGGTGTTCCAAAAAGTAGCACGAACACAACTCAAAAAAACATAAAATAGTCTAAGATACCACTGCAATAAAGTTAAAAGTTCAACAAAAACAATCTTCACCGTGTATTGCAAATACGTTGTATAGTTTATACAGATACACAAAACAGTAGTTATTACAGAATATCAAATACGATAGAAATTCAAAAAAGTTTTTGTTCGATAAAGCAATGTTTAATGAGTAGAATCTTCCTTAGAACCTTGCTAACGTAATGACACCCGTCAGCCCCAGGTAGCACCCCAGGCGGTCGGCTGATTTTCCCAGAATGCAGAGCTCTGAGTGTTTCGAATTAGAGATTCTCGGAATCGATACGCTTGAATAGACGCTCGTTCAAGTTATCTCAACCGCTGAGAACAGCTTCTGGGCTAAATTACGTGTATCATCTCAGCAACTACGATTGCAGACAATACAAGCAGGCTCGCTTGAGAAATTCGAGGGGGACTGGAACGCCTCCACGCAATAAATCATGCGACCATCCACGCTCGATCGCCGCCGAGCGGTCCCCCCCCCCCTGCGCACGGCGCACCTGCAATTTTAAGCGGCGGCAGCGCTTGGGGGCAATCGCTCACGCGAATGGAACATGCCGATACGTCACCCAATTACGCCCCCCCTCCCTCTCCCGCGGCTCGCGGTGCTCCGCCCTGCAGAGCGCGCTACACCACGCCACGCCACGCCACGCCACGCCACACCACATCTCATCACACCGGTAAAGGGGGCTCAGAGCATCACTGCAGTGCCTCTCACAGGGAGCCCCGACCGTGGCTGGTTGTTCAACACTAGCTACAGAGTTAGGTCGAATTCAGCCGCTGTCTGAAGAGGGATTCTAGCGGCCAGCTCTCTTATCGGAAAATGTCCGTGGTCTCTTCGAGCAACACCTGGAGCAGTACCCTAACAAACGGGGCACGGAACCCGCGCGATCTTTCTTTCCTCATCCCTGTTGTTTCCACAGCCGTTATTTACACACACTCGCATGCACTATGCTACCTCACTCATCGGGAGCGTCGTCGGGAGCCTGGAGCTGGTGCGGCTGGGGCGGCGCCTGGTGACGCTTGGGGAATGTTCCCGCAGTGAGGGATCATCTCCGCCACCTCCGACGATAAAACACGCACTACACATACGGGACTAATGACCTTAGCAGTTGACGCGCCCGCAATCACTAAACAATCAAAAAATACAACGCATTACTCCCCCTTCCAGGACACTTCGAAACCTGGCACTCCACGCCATGCGATGCCACGCTATCTCACGTGATTCCACGTCCAGACATACCGCATCATATCACAAGCCACACCATGCACTACAACACGACGAACCACACACTTCCTACATTACACCTCCTCACACCACGCCCCTCTACACCAAAACACACCAGGTCCCGTCCCTCTCCATCCAGCCGCCCCTCGGCCCACCTCGCCTCGCTTCCTCCGCACCCTGGCTAGTCACGCCCACACCCTTCCTCCTGACGAACAGGACACGAATATTTATTTAATTACATTTTGATATTTGGGTGAAATGGTGATTTTGAAGCGGTTAATTATTGTGAAATGTGCACAAAATATTGCGAGTTTTAATTTTTATTCTCAACCTGTTTTCAAACTACATAAAATATGCACAAAATTGAAATTTCATCTTAAACGTACTTCTTGTTTGTTATTTAATGAAACTAGTTGCTTTAATCCGAAAACTGATCCAAAAACAAACAGTGCACTGTTTTTTGCTCTTTCTGCGCAGCGCTAGTTTGTGCCTCGAACCGCGTAACCACAACACGAGCACTTCGTGTGAAAAGTTTGACCAGACCTGGCAGCCATGTTGCATGGAGAAGAATAGGAGTACTGAGAAACATTTTGAAAATGGCATAAAGTGACAATTTTCAATGAAAAATAGCACGGTAAGACGTAATTGAAATAGAAGATGCAATATTTTTTAAAGAATGCTTCATATATGTTTTAATGACTTGTAACTAGGTAATAATTTTGGTATAAGGCTGTATCTAAATCTCCCGTTAATATCGGTGCCTGAAACTCATTGACTGAAGTCGGATATGATGCGGAAGTGCTCCCCCATTTCTTTCCACCATGGCCGTGACGACTGGCTCAGGCCCGCCCCTACGCGCGCTCTCTGCCGCCGGCGGAAGGAGATTCCTGCGGCACACTGCCGCCGCGCTTCCTACAGCGGGTCGCGTGTGATCACGGCACTGCGTGTGCTGAGACTGTAACCAGTAAGTTCCCTGGCAGCTAAGCTCAATTGGGAGGCGCCGCCGTGGGGTGCTGCGTTTCGGCGTATCCGGATGCCAGCTCCAAGGGGGGGGTGGATAGCGTCAAGCGCCTGGGTGCCCTCTCTAGGGAGCAATCTCCCTTGTACAACAAATGTGTGAGTACCCATGCAAGGTATCCGCTGTACTCTGATACAATCAAGGCCGTATTCCAGCTGTAACGAGAGTAGTGCTTGAGTTAGAAAGGTCATATTCAACTTTCTACACTGAAGATAAAAGTACGTGAACAGAATCAACGCCATCGCGGTAAGCGATCCCTGACGGCAGATTAATCGACGAGCATGACAACGCTTTCTCCTTCACTTTATTTCTACTTTGCTCTGTCCGAAGATAAATGTGGCACTCAAAATAATCAAAATAAAACAGAAACGAACACATATCTACTATCCCCTTCCATAATTACTCAGTCGCCTAATTAATGATGACCTCTGGACGAAGTATGCAAGAAAAAGTTTCCGAAAGAGGGTAATCGCAGCAGACACTTTGAAGAAACAAGCATTCCATTCTAATTGCGAACATGTCATTTTCTATTTATGATAGTTTACTCTTACGTCGCAGCAGTAATAGAAGCACAGTTCGTAGTAATTCGGAATGATCAAATCCTTGCCATATCCTTGCAGTTTTATAAAAAAAATTACGTTGTATACACTATAATATATTAGATATTAGATTACGCACAATTTCTAATTTTAAGCTTCCAAAGTTGTTTCAAGAATACAAATAGATCATAAAATTATTTATTGAATCACTATTCTATTAATTAACCTACATTAAA